TTTGACGGATTAGTGCGCTTATGAGTGGCATTGCCAAAGGACTGCGCACAGGACACGCCGAGAAACAGGGAGAGAAAAAAACTATTTGGCCTGAATGTAAACTGTAATAATAATACCCATTATTATTTATATATTTATTTATTTGGGCCGACTGGCATCGAGTCTGTGTGTGTGCCGTATCAATTTTCATAAAATATCGATAGCCGGTTATTGATAACCGTGTCGAAAGTCATTTTCTATTTCCACTCCACACTGCAAATGATGCTTCCCAGTCCCTGCGCTGCCTCCTCCACCTCAAGTCTTGATAAATTTCGAGCATTTCAGCCCGGTTTATAGCACGCATTTATCAATTCTATAGAACAGGGTAGAAAACTGAGAAAAAAATTGAAATTACCAAATGCTAAGCTGAATAAATGCGGAATTCTAGAAAAATATTGATTAAATAGGTCTATTAAATAAGGTTCATTCAATGTGAATAAAATGTGAATTTAAAGCAATTGGAATATAAGGTTTCCATATTTAAATTATATTATTATTTTATTTTTTATCATAAAGTCTCACTTCATTATTCATTCCTGATGTTAAGATTGAATATTTTTCAGACTAGCCTCGGCTCTATAGAAAAGAGCTACTGTAGAGACTCAATTATCTCTTGCTTCACTCTTTGAACTGTGCCATCAATCATCTCTCACTCAATTGCTCAATCACTCAACGCACAAACAGACACATCGTGTAAATATTTTCAAACTATTCTTAAGGTATTCCGATATGAATATCTGATCATATGCAAGCACCTGAGGGATTTGTTGGGCCGTGTTACCTGTCCATATGCTAAGCCTAATTATCAACAAGTCGAACTCATTGACCCATAAAAGAAGACAACGGCATCTAGATCCTCTCGTCTGAGGACCCATTGACAGGTGTGCTGTACGTGTCAAGGGATACGGAAAATTCATTATAGACGTTGCTATCGCCAAATATCTCGAATTCAAATGCTCGAAATTAATTACGTCGAGACGACAGAAAATTGTAAAGAAAACTAAACTCAAAGGAATGAAGCAAAATACGATGTTAGAGAATAGATAATACACGAAGGTAGATACGCATAGAAAAGTGTGCGATAATAATGACAAAGAGCGCAAGGTAAGGGAAAACTAAGGTGAAGCAGAGGCAGCAACACCCTAGGAAACTGGGCTCAGCTCTTGTCGGGTTGAATGCGTTCACGTTTATGCGGTTGCACGTTTCAACGGGGCCATGCATCGCGATATGGTCTATGGGCGAGGGCCAGGGTGATGGCAGGGGCTGGTGGGCGTGGCACTTGTACATGTAAATGTGTTTTCCGTATACTACGCAACGCGCAGGTAAAAAAGGCATATTGGTTTTAGTGTAGTGTCTAGAGCGTACTCGCAACCGTACTTTCATTGATTTGATTGAGTGGAAGATTTGTTGAGTGCATGTGGGTAGGGGATAGAGTACTCCATTTTAGAGTATTTTGAGAGGCATTTGAAGCTTAAATTCTGCATACGAAATACATGCACTTTTCATATATAAGATTGGGGGATTGAGAAAAAGATGCAAAATATATATTTTCCAGTCTATTCAACTTACTAAAAGTTACGATTTCAAGATTTGATTGATTATCAATATATCTCAATAAAAACTCTTAATAATAACTTTAATTTTATACAATCTGATTTATACTCTCTATATCTCGAAGATATAATAAAATATAATGATATAAAATAATATACAATAACATATATGGATCATACTAATAAGAAATCGGATCATTTCTATATTATTAATTTCCGCTGCAGATATAGTGCGTAAAGTTTGATCCATATTTAATTGATTTCAGTATTTTCCATATGGAATGCGTGTATGAGACAGTCAATTACACCCGTTTGCACTTGTTGTCTTTGTGCAACATAATTGGCCTAATATATTTGAGACGGCTTTGTCCTAATGTCTGGCCCAAAAGAGACACGTACGAGCCGAATATATGTGTGTGTGTGTGCCTTGGTGTGTGCTGTCTCTCATCTTTGGCTTATGATTTTATCAGTGTTTGACTAACGCACCCAAATTTATATATATATACATATATATTTTGTCTTCTACGAAATCTGGGTGTGTTGCCCATTGCCCAACTAAAACCAAGACACAGCAAGCGACAGAGAGAGAGAGAGAGAGAGAGACGAAGATAGACAGAGAGGCCTGTCTATGCGACAGAAACGAGCCCAAAAAGCCAAAAAGCAAACAAACAGCTAGCAAAGCATTAACCAGGTGCCAAACACCTCCCCGCACCCCTTGGACCAGCAGCTCCCAGCAGCAACTGCAACTCCATCTGCAACAGCGACTCCAAGTCCAGACAAAGTTTGTTTGCTTAACTTTTGATATTTTTCAGTTAGTTAGCTTTAACTGTAAATTGCTCACGGTTGGCCAATACGACGAAAAGAAGAAAAAAAATGGAAAAACGAACCTTGGCATTTCGAGAGCTGTTGAAGCAGGTGGAGCAGCTGAAGCCGTTGGCTCCAACACAGACTCCAATGCGCAAGCCGATGAACTGCTTATTGAGTAATTTAGTTAATTTGGCTTGCAATTAGAAAATATATCAAGCCGTTAGCTGGCGAGTGGCAGATACTTGGAATTGAATTTATAATAGATTGAGATATACTATTATGATGTGGAGAGCAGAGAGCTCGAGTTGATGGAATTTTATAGGGAAACATAGTAGCCTTAGAGAACTGAGCAGGAGGCGCAACGAAATCATATTTATTGGCATTAAACAAACGAAATAAGCACAGGCACAACATTTATTATATTTCTAGAAATTTATAGAAATATGCTAGATATTGAGTTCATCAACAAAATGGTAGATCGCATTTCTAGTCTGATTCAGTGCAAGACGGCGTCGCACGTGGTCAACATGCTGAAACAGAAGGAGAGGGAGCAGATAAAGATAAATATCGTGACGAAGATGGTGGAGCAGGATGTGGTCAACTCCTTGTTGAGGACGGCTGACGCTATTGCCGGCGGAGAGGATCTGCAGATGGAGCAGCAGTCCAAGACACATGAGCGGCAGTTGGGTGGAGGCGATGGATTGGTTAAAGAGCAGCCAAGCGAGGACTCGCCAGGGCAGAGCAAGCAGGAGATGGGCGGAGGGGATGCTACGATAGAGCAGCAGCCAGGCGAAGATTTCTTTAAAGAGTTCTTCCGACAAACGGATGCAGGCGATGCTGAGCGAAATGATCTACAGTCGACGGAGGATTCTGAGGAGCATTTGTCTGAGAAACTGTATCAATACAAGTCCGCAGACGATTTACTGCTCAATACTCCACAGTCAAGCGACGATGTGCATCTGGAATTCCCTGCAAACATATCTGAAGGCGAGCAAAGCCATCGACAGTCGATAGAGGATACGGAGGAGCATTTGCCTGAGGAGTCCAGTCAGTCGAGCGACGAGGTGCATACTGCAAGCATATCCGACGACCAGCATCCATCGATCAGTAGTCCACGACCAAGCGAGGATCTGTCGACGGAATCCGCTCCAGACATGTCTGAGTGCGATGCAAGGCCCTCGACAAGTCGCAGCACAACGCTGAGCCACGAGGAGCTGGAGGAGCGCATGAGCTGGCGGCTGCAGAAGCTCGCGCAGTTCGAGAACGAGCAGTACGAGCTGCCGCCAGAAGGTGATGAAGCACTCCGCAGAAGGAAACCGCAAACGTGGCCAGAGTTTGCAAGAGAAATGCAGGGCAAAAGGGATTCGTAAAATACACTGCAAAGATTGAATGAGCAAAAGCAGATAGTCAACAAAAAACAAAAAATTAACAGTTTCGACTCCTGTGTGTGTGTGTGCAGCTCAACATACAACATATATATAAATACATACACATGTATCTGTGTGCGTGCCATACAAAAATATTTATAAATAGCGGCCAAGCAAACTGTATTAACTACACCAACAATGTCACACGGAGAGCGAGGCATAGCAATGAACGTTGCAAAATTATAACAGTAGAACAGTATGACAGTATTACAGTGTATACACATCAACATCAATTACTGTTTATTTGTGTACGTGCTACACAATATACATATGTATGAACATGCCCTCATATCTCAATATCACATCGCAAATAAAAAAGGCAATGTTGATGCAATTCACAGTGGTTCACAACATATTTCAATCATCAGTTAAAACAAAAATTTTGACACCTTGTAGTCAAATACCTTAATTTATAGAAAAGGAGCGCATTTAATTTTTTAATATTTTAAAAATATATCGTAATAGTTAAAAACTAAAAAAAACAAAAATTGTAATTAAAAAAAATAAAATAAAACAAAATTAAATAGAGTAACAATAAAAAATCAATACTAAAAAGTATTTAAATAATAAGTGAAAATGTAATTAAATATTAAATAAATAAATAAAATCATTAATAAATAATAGACAATAAATGAAAAATAAAAAACGTATGATAAATAAGAAGTAATAATAAATAATAAACAATAAATAATAAATAATAAATAATAAATAATAAATAATAATAATAAATAATAAATAATAAATAATAAATAATAAATAATAAATAATAAATAATAAATAGTAAATAATAAATAATAAATAATAAATAATAAATAATAAATAATAAATAATAAATAATAAATAATAAATAATAAATAGTAAATAATAAATAATAAACATTAGCTAATCAATAATAAATAATAAACAATAAATAAATAATAAGCAGAGAAAATAAAATAAATAAATAATAGCTCATTTTTCTTTGAATTCATGTTAATTTAAGGTTTTTTAAAATAAATAAATGCATTTTTATAAGTTAGGAGACTGCAACATTGCATTTAAGCTTGGTAATTTCTTTTAGTTTGGGGTTGTTTGAAATTAGCTGCGAGTCACTGTGCAGAAATCAACCCTAATTTGCGACTATCGGTATAGCGGGTATCGATATATATTTCTTCGCTCTCAGTTTTGCATCGATATTTATCATTCAGTCGGACGCCAGATGTCAGCTGTTGCTTGATCAACTTTTCGCTTGGAGTTGCTTTTTCTTGTTCTCTTCGATTTGATTTTGACTGCATTACTATGACGCGTGAGTTTAAAAAGAAGGAAATGTGCTAAAATATATACAATACTGTATCGTGCGCTCCTCCTATTTCACTTCCTCTTGCTCTCGGCAGGCAAATGGTCAAACAAGGAGACGAAGCTGTTGCTGCGCCTCTACCTGAAGTACAAGCGAGACTTCCGAGAACGTCACAAGAAGCGAGCAGAGATCTGGCAACATGTTGTGAGAGAGTTTGAGCAGCATGGCTTTAAGGCCAACTACATAATGCTGGATCGCAAGTTTCGCAATATGAGCCGCACCTACTTCAACATCAAGCGTCAGAAAAAAGACGATGATCCGAACTGGGAGTACTTTAGCGCCATGGACGAGATCTATTCAGGTACGTTGCCCGAACCGCGTAATATAACGATTACATACGAGGAGCCGCCCGAGGAGGAAGAGAGCCAGCAGCTCTTTGAGATCAAAACAGAGCCTGAAGTCAGCTCATCTGAGATACTACTGGATGAGCCTAACTTCGAGGAGTTGGTCTCTAGCCGCATCAAAGTGGAGCAGCCAGATATCGATATGGAGAGTAGGAGATTACTGCAAGCTCTGGAGGCTGAGCGTGTGGAGGAGCTGCGCGCCATACGAGCCACCTTGGAGGAGTCAAATGAAATACAGCGACAACGGAACACCCTGCTGCAAGAGCGAAATGAGCTGATGAGGCGCTATCTTGGCAATAATATTAAATGTACTAATCCGCATCTATATAATTTAGTTAACTAGATTAGCATTACTAACAATGTACTAATCCGCATCCATATAATTTAGTTAACTAGATTAGCATTACTGATTGATTTACCTTCACCGACTACAACTTTATTTATTTATTTTTGTATGCATATTACATGTATGTGTATATCTGATTTGTATTTGTATATTAACGAGAATGATATAGGAATCTCTCTGCTTTAAGGGTGGTTTTTTGTATCTGACTATGAGTACGGCAAATTTATAAGGGCTATGTTATATAGTTGATAAATGTATGTAGTAAATATTTGACTGATTTTAAACTAAACAAATTATATATTAATTATTAATTAATTAAACAAATTATATATTTATATCAATAACATTTTTTCTATTTAAGTTATACCTAAATATACAACAAAAATGACATATCTATATATATTTATATATTCATATTTTTATATGATGAGTAATCGTATTACTATAAAGCATATGCAAGGTCAGACTGAAAAATTATTGACATAGATAACATAAGAATAATCATATTTTTAATAGTATTCCAATTTTCATGTTTATACTTTAATTATATATTATTTATACCTTTTTTCAGAGTATTATTACATATTTCCTCTAGAAATTAAATTTAATACATAAATAAAGATGAAATAATTTGAGCAACTGAGTTGGCGAATTTTTTAGCTAAATAACATAAGTTTTAAGTTCTAAAATGGATCCATTTAATATATATTTTGAGACGTATGCGACTTGTATATTTAACTTAGGAAATATATAATCCAAGTGTATATGTAAATGTTCTAAGGCTGTTTCAATTGAAACGGTAAACGTAAAAGTCAAATCGAACCAGAGTTTATATAGGGTAAATTGGAATATGTTTAGGGAAGAGTCTCTCTTCTAAGATCTCCCCCTTGGAGTGCACTGGTGAGTAGTCTCTCAAAGAGCATTTAAAAATTCAATCAGACGACTAATATCTGTAGTTTGCCAGGTAAATAAAAACAAAATGCATCATCGACAAAAATTTTGGCAAAAATAAAAAATGAAAAAAGTTAAAAACTGTCGCCTAAATTAATTAAAATTGATTTATTAATGTGGCGACATCGCTGATCAAAGACGCATGACGTCAGCTCATGGGATCTGTTTGTTTGTCTTGCTGTCTGTCTGTCAGACAATCCCAGGCCCAAGCTCAAGTCCAAGCCAAATCCAAATCGAGTCTGGAAATCCGATAAATATACGCTAAGTGGACAGCTAATTAGCGCAATTAATATGTTAAATATAAAAGCCGGTCACTAAAACAAGAAACGCTGAGAGACACGCTAATGAAATTAACATAGCGTGGTTAACAGTTTTATCAAATTTGAAAACAAATTTTCCTCATCTCTGCATGAATACATGAATAAATTGATGGGTTCTCTTACTGAGATTTACAGAGGTGTCTCTGTGTGCACTTTTGAGACAGTTGAATACCCTTTCAGCAGGCGGTGTCACGGGTATTCCGGTTGGGGATGAGGCACCAAGCAACCAAAAAAAAAAAAAGTCTTTTCAAGAAGGGAGTAAACGTAGTTTACAGCTATACAAAGATATGACAAAAGATTGCCAAGGAGAGCGTGTGAAATGTTTAAGGATGAGACACAAAGGAAAATGCAATACGATTTGGGGATTGTATAAAAGTGAACAGAAAATAAACTTACACTGATGTTACTTTAAGAACTTTAAAAAAAATCATTTAAATATGTAACGGCATATCTCACCTTTAAATATTCACTAATAAGAAAGGTAGGGTATATGCATTTTTATATTACTGCTATTTCTGGTTCAGTTTTTAAATCATTTCTAATTTTATTTCTCTGTTAATTGTGATTACCAAATGAATGAGTCGGCGTAAAAATGAGCACGACTTTTTGGGACAGCGGAAAACTACGAAAACCTAAGAGCTGATCATAAATGAGGTGAACTAAAGGGTATGTGGGCTATGCAGAAGCAACGAGCTAATTTGTGACAGTGTGGAAAATTGTGAGGAAAGTGGTTTTTGATTAGAGCCATTCTTCTACTTAAATGAGGGTATTCAAATCTTAAGCTGAGCTCGATTTCGTAGTTGTTTCTTAATTGGAAGCGATCTCTATTTAAATGAGGGTAGTCCATTTTAAGTTAAGTGGAAAAGTTGCACTATATTTCTGTTTATAGTTTTTATTGTTTTGGAGTCAGTTTCAGTTTGAGTGAGGCATATATTAGGATGGCCTGAAATGTGTGAGAGTATTTTAAATTTATTTATTTTTCTGATTCATTAATGAGGGTAGGCCATGGCAATTTTTGACTGTATCGGGGCTAGTTACTATTTAAATGAGGGTATTCCATTTGAAGTTCAGTTCAACTTTTAAATGGTTATTATATATTTGGAGATATACCCTCTATGAGTAGGGGTACTTCATTTACAGTTGAGTTCAGTTCAGTTCGCTAGTTATTGCTTTATTAGGGATAGTTCACATATGAATGAGGGTTTTCCATTTCCATAACACCTTAACTTTTAAATAGTTATTATTTAAACGGGTTTCATCTTTGTCTGAGTTGGGTATGTAATTTTAAATTTAGTTCAAATATTAGTTTAACTTTTGAATAGTTGTTATTTAATTAGAGATAGCTCTATAGTAGGGCTATTCCATTTTGAGATGATTTGTTGTATTAGGGATAGTCTGTATATAAGGATGGTATTCCATTTGTAGTTGAGTCAAGTTGTTCAACTGGTTTTTAAATTTTGGTAGTTGGAAATTTGATCGACTAATTGGAAGTTGGGGCACTACGTGGAGCTTTGGGGGAATCTGCTTCAATTAGACTTCCTTTTACAATTTCAACCGAATGTCTGCCGGCGGTTCTCTCATTAACTCAACGGTGCGGACAGAGCTCTCGAATTTGTTCAGGCAGGCAGGAGGAGGCTCGCAAGGACTCCTCCCTCTGTCTCCCTCTCTCACTCTATCTGTCGTGTCTCGGCTGGCTGGTGGGCTATGCACGGAATGTTCGTGCAGTTCAGCCGGGGCCCATTGCCAATTTCCGGGGTACCAAAAAACGGCCGTTGGGCGTAAATTAAAATTAAATTCAAATGGAAAAGTGTCGTCTGTGTGGACTGCTCGACTCTCAACTGTCGACTGGCCATTCCCAACGTTTGTCCGTCTATCTGTCTGTTCGTCTGCCCATCAGTCCATCTGTGTGTCCGTCTGTCTGTCCGTCCGTTAGTCGGCAACATTTTAGCAATTATATTCGCGTTCGGGCGACATTACAACGGCAATTACACGCAGAAGGCAGCCGCAACGTGGGCGAATGAACATGGGCCATGGGCAGGTCCTGTTTCAGGTTCTGCAGTGCTGCTGGCATCCCTGGCATCCTTGGCATCCTTGTCAGTGTCACGTGAAGCGGCAACGTGCTCAACCGACTGACGGACACACACACACGCACACACACATCGAGTCAGAGAGTCGTCTGATGGACGACATCAACGTCAACGTCAACGTCGACGCTGTCATTGACAGGCGAGTTGCTCCTTTTTGCTGATCCTGTTGCAGGTCGAGGTCCTGCTGCTGCTCCTGCTGCTGCCCCATTCCCAGAACGTTTCATTGATTTTATGAGGAATGCGAATTGCGAATACCTTACCTTGCCTAAGCACACAAATTATTCGCAATTGTCAACGCATTAATTATTTAGCTGACTATTTGTAGAAATTAAGTTTCAATTCCACTCGTTCCCCATAATCCGTTTTATATGAAGATATACAGCACAAATGTTGGCTCTCATTTTCATTTGTTTACACAATTGAAATTTCGGAAATTCTGTAAATTTCATTACTATTCCATTTGTCTCAAGCGAAGATTGTGTTTCATTTAAGTTAACTTATAATCTTTCATTTTCATTGTGCTTGATCCAAAGTGAGTGAGCCGTATTTAATTCGGTAACAATGCTATCCAATTATAACTCTGGCTTCGTTTCCATTTGTTTCAAAGGGAAAACTGCGCATCAGTTTACTTTTTATATACCCCATTTCAATTCCACTTGCTCCAATTATTAAATGCAAGGCAATAGACTCTGATTGATTAAGCCCGCTTCAATTCCATTTGTTCCTCTGTTTTTTTTCTGTCATTACGTTTCGTCGTCAGTTTGTTTCACATGTGATATTCGAATTTCACTCATGGGCTTTTCTTTTTACCTGATGTACACATGCCCTAAGACAAGCTGATGTACTTCGCATACTCTAAACTTTTTTGTAATAAAACTGAGCAGTTAAAATATGAAATTTCTTGTGTTTGTGCGTGTGTGGGTGGGAGCGTGTGCATGCGTGTGTGTGCGTGGGTGTGTGGTGTGTGGTAAATGAAATAAAATAAATGTATGAAAGCAATAACCAAGCAACATTACATAAAAATCTACTTGGCCCAGCTCCTAATGACTCTCCTTCTCGTCCTCTGACAGACGTGAGCCTATTTACGTGTGTGTGTATGTGTGTGTGTGTGTGTGTGCGTGTGTATGTAATATGGCCGACACTTCCGTTCGACATGTTGCACATGTTGCTGCCGTTTCCGTTGTGCCATACACGTTGGCCAAGCCCCCACGCCCCCACGGCCCCCTGGCTCAGCCCGTTGGCCCCGTTGGGCAGAGGCCATGTGGCCACTGGCATAAAATACAATATATATACAAAATTGGTTCTGTTCTTTGCCAGTTGTTGTTATTGTTGTTATTGTTGCTGTTGTTGTAATGAGTATTGGTATTGTTGCTGTTGTTGGTCACGCATGGTGTTGGCTGTCGCTTGCTGTTTTTATTGCCAGCACTTCCTGCCGCTTGCTTGTTTCATAATTAATATCCTTTCACACATTATTATTACGGAAATGAGACGGAGAATTCAAATATATATGTCCTATTATATATAGTCCTTATAATTATCCATGAATAGGATATAAGAATTTGTATACGTTTTACTATAATTATGAATATAGCTGCGTATATATTTTCTTAAATACAAAAAATATTATTAGTTATATTAAAAAATAAAAAATTATTAAACAATATATTACAAATTATATATAAACAAAAAAAAAAATAAATAAATAAATAAATAAAATAAAATAAAAATAAAATATATTTCAAAAAGTAATAATATTTTCTATTTAAATCATTTTCAACCCACTCAATAAATTTTAATTGAATTGCATATATTTTGTATATGTTCTATTTTACAGGGTATTTTCCAGGCAGAC